ATCCTCTATCCAAGCCATCGCGATTTGGTATGATGCCAATACACCTTTCTCATTGCTTATATTGTTAATACCAATAGCACTAACAAGAGGGTACTTATAAATGTTTGTTTTGTAGGTTGAATCTACAATAAGAACTTCGGGACATTTGGCAACACATTTTGCTGATTCGGTATGAAAAAAAAAAAGGTGTGTTAAGTAACCTTTTGCTGTTTTTGAAGGTATTACTACATAGTTGCGTTCTTCAAAGAGCCTTAAAAGCTTCCGCGTAAAATCATCATTGGGACCCTCATTTAATGCAAATCTTATACGGGCACGCTCATTCACAATATCCTTTGGATGAATAATCCCACCATCAACGATCTTATTTGCAGCAGTCGTAATAACACGTGTAGGTGCGTTACTGTCATGTAGTTGTTGAATAAGACGTTTTTGACTTAAATTTTTGGTGCGATGCTGAGGAAGGGTTGCAACCTCATCCAATTCAAGTAAAGGATGATTATGCACAAGTGCAACTTTTGTAACATTCCACACTATCTCATCTTTTGTGACATCCGTAGTTAAATGACGTTTTATTGCAACGGCTCTAATGTACACAGGACAACCTACACGTTTAGTCTTTTTTTTTCTTTTTCGAGTTTTTTCTTCTATATTCCAGTTGTTTCGCCATTCTCCACCTTTGGTACATTGCAAGATGACGAAAGGTGATTTACCTCCGCGTCCTGTAAGGTTGCTATCTTTCCTTGAGAAAGCGAACCCGTTAGCTTTAGCAGATAAGTTGGCTGCACTTTCAAGTGCTTCTAAAGATTCGAACGTATCATTTACTTTAAGTATAGTGGGCTCCATTATTGTTCATATATACGGATAAGTTTATATGTAATTTTATACGAACACTTGTAACATCAATATATAAAACGATCAAAGTTTAAGTAATTTATTAACATAAGGTGGGTATATTTATTTAACGAAGAAAAAAAAGGATCAAACGATAGGTAAGAATTTTTTGATTTTATAAATCATAAAGTTTAAAATGATGAACATTTTATTACATCATTATATATTGTAATTTACATACAGTATATTGAATCATGGATATAAAAAAATCATACTTTAATTTTATAATTAATTTTCACTGGGCGGTTAGAAATGATCACTTCATTTTACAAAGATTAGTTAATGACGAAAGAAGGCAAATTTATAGTACTTTTTTTTTTCTTTTAATGTCGTTTTGTGAAGAGTAAAATAGAAAAAAAAGTATTATGCCTTATGAATATATAGACTGCCGTCAATTGAAATCAAGCAGATTGTCATTTTAAAAAAAAAATTAATATCTTAAATTTCGCTACTCATATCTTGATGAATTTCGAAGTTATTCTCATGATTGAATAGTCAAAAGAAAGATTAAATCTTAAGCTTTCAGTTAACTATTCATTCATAAGAATAGCTTCGAATTCATCGAGATATTAACAGTGAAATTTAAGGTATTGATTTTTTTTAAAATGTCAATCTGCTTGATTTCTATTGACATATTGTCAATCATTTTACTTTTAACGTAATAAAAAATATGATCGATAACACTTGTAAAGAGTAATATATTAAAATCGGAAATTATGAATACTTCTTACCTTTATTGTATTCATATTAGGTTGATTGAGACATCTAATTAAATTGCTAATTTACCTATAGCATGCACTTTGTTGAAATTATATTTCTATAACTATGTTGGTACATTTACTATCACGTGATCGGTACGTGTCCGTAAGCAGAAATATCACGTGACCGGTACGTGTCCGTA